CCCCTCCCCTCTTTTGCAAATCAAGGTGGTCTTTGGATGTCTTTGGAAGTTTCCCTATCAACTTGTTTGTGTCTCCAACTTGATGGATCAGTTGTCCCGGAGGTTGCTCGCCGCAAGGAAAGCGCGAAAAAATGCGGACTCGGCGGACCTTCGTCAGCACTTGACACACGTATCCGACTGCCAAAGGCAGCAGCGCTTGACCAAACAAGGCCTGGCAAATGTGCAAAGGCACAAACCAATCCTCTGAATTCAGAGAATTTCATAATGATTTGTTACAGTAGCGTTTTTGACATGTTTGTTGTTATTGAGTTGTTTGTGCAAAGGTGTTCTTGAATAGTTGTTCCGCCTCAGATGCCTGTGTCGACACATTGAGAAATGCTGAGCCCTGTCCGTTTTCAGGTTGATGTCCTGACCTTGACACGAGGGGACATGAGTATATATGAAGATAACATGGTGCCGTTCAAGCCAATTGCAAGGCTGAACCGTGCTTAGCTCTTACAGCGAAGCCTCAGCGTTGGATGGGTTCTTAGGCCACCGCCGCAAAAATAAAAGGTGCTGCATCCCAAGTGGTTGGCCATGAATACTGGCTGCAATGGAGTCAAGGACCAAACAAACTTTGTATCTCAGTAAAGAAACGTATGGTCTTTGGATTTCTGGGTTCATTATTTACTCCGAAAAACAACATAGACCAAAACTCAATTTCAAGTGCGATTTAACATGGACCACTGGAAACGTTGACTTCCTGGGGAAACGGCATTCGCATTTTTGGGGGCAATTTCCGGACACTCACTAACATGGACCACACACACTCTCAGTCTCTGATCGATTCTGAATGATTCTGACACTAACATGGATCAACTGCAATCATTGCAATCTGACTACATAGACCGTACCGGTAGAGGTCAACATAGCCCGGTGGAGGCTAACATAGACCATGCCAAATACCCGTACAGCCCACCATGGTGCATCTGAATTTGGTCTAGGTTAGTCTAAACGGTGTCCGCTCCGAAACTAGACTAACATATGCCACGAAAAAATGCCTAAAATGTGAGTTTTCTCCGGTGTATGTTATATTTGCACGCGCACGGTGGCTCAATGCTAGAAGCCCTCCAAACCGACCGGTGAAAGGAAAGCTCACCACGGGTGGATCCTCGTGGTTGTTGAGCCACATCTGTTTGGCTTTTTGGACACATCCCCATACATCTCCCATGTTTTGCATTGATGAGGCCAAACATGAAAGTGGAGTGACCCCAACCGGCGTGCATAGCTGACGTTCATCAAGTACAGCAGCCGTGATGTTGCCCACAGCAGCCGGGCAAAGCGGAGAACCACCCTTTAAGTGGTGAACACATAGGCCATGTGTGTTCGGCTTGTTGTCTGCAGGCTGGGTGGAGACCAAGACACTTCCACCGCCCACTCAGAGGCTCTAGCTTATTGGACGCCCGGCTTGCTAGACTCCGAGCGCAAGTTGCAGTAAGCACCACAACAATAGGGGTAGTTGATTGGACTTGTAGGGCCCTTACTCCGCGAAACAAGCCGGGGATAATTTGTGTAGTGGTTTTTGCAACCAGTATACTACAAATCACTCATGCCTTGCAGGTAGCCAGTCAGGACCTCAATCAAGACACGGACAGGCGCATTGAATTTCCACGCTTCTCACACTTCAATAGGCAGACCACCGAAGTCGAAAGTCACCAGTTGAGAGCTCGACCTTGAGCTTCGCTGGATGGCTTTCATGCTCCGCTTGGGCTCATGCAGATTCACCTCCCCTCCATTGCTCGGCCCACCCTGGCTGCTTGACAGACTTTGAAAGGGGCTTCATCTCCATTGCCGTCGATTGCAGCGAGTGCAGTGTGATGGGACTCCAAACTGACTTGGGGGCGGCTTGAAGAAGCGGCGTCTTCAAGCTGCAGTTCTTCCGTCCACTTCGTTTTTGGATGGAACACCCTGAGGTTCTTTCAATTACTTGTGGATCGAGTCTCTTCATCCAGCGCTACAGATCTCATGATCAAGGGGCAGGGGTCTCCTCCGGCGGGGCACAAGCACCTCAAACTATTAAGGACGCTCCTGAAAGAAAGCACACATCGTTTCATGGATACGAAAGTAAACAATCGTGTCAGAGCATGACGAACCATGGTCACTTCTCATGGTCAAGGACCACGCACTTGATGATCTGCTTGGGGTCAGCACATACTCACCTGAGGCTGCCCGAGATGATGATCGTCCTTGGAGAAAAATATCCACCTCTCCCGAAATATCTCCAGCTGAACGGAGCGAGAAATCCGCAGCTTCACTGAAAGCCGGCAGCTACGCAAAAGCTGCGCAGCTGAAGCTGGTGAACCATCGTCATCATGAAAAAAGTTGGGAACCGAACTGTTCAGATCGACGTCGCTTGGGAGGGGAGAAGTCGCCACCGAAGCCCCCCTTTGCAGAGTCTCCGGTCTCAACATCTGATTCCCAGGCCCCCAAACCGGCCGGCCCGGGCTGATGATGTATGGGACTCCCAAAAAGGTCCGTCAAAATAAACAGGCTGTTGGATATGTGAAAGATTAGACCAATAGCATTGTTAACAGCTAGATCTGGTGTTTTTTGGTTGGATGAGCCCCTTAGTCAAACCTTGTCAGACCCCTGGGTCGACGCTGAACCCTTGGTCTTAAGAGTCCTGGGCTGAGTCTTAAGAGGGGCACTATTGTTGAGATCATGCAAGCTAGTACTGTGAAACATGGTATGGACAAATTAATATTCAAATTAGTTTCAATGGTTTGGCCTCATACCAGTGACCAGTTAGGTCTCAATGTTATTCTATTGGGCTGGGCGCTTCACGGGCGAAAGATAGCAGGTGGACTGTTGATGTTTCTCAACCCATGGAGGAAAAAAAAACACATCCTCCGATGAAAGGGGAGGAAGAAACCTTCAGAACTTCAGATGCCGTGTTGTAGACATGGTTGCCATGTAAGAGGGCCACATCTGAGATTGCAGCCACCTAAGACGGCCACACCTGAGATGGTTGGGAAGACCTCTCTCAACATCACCGCCGCTTTAGAGCTCTTCAAGGGTTCTGACCAACCTCACACTTAAGATTATTTAAGATCTGTTTGCTTTGCATCGACTCGGGCGTTGGAACAAGCAGATCGATCTGAGGTCGCTTGAATCCCACACCATCTAGATATCTGATGTGTAAACAGGTACCAATCTAGTGGTCCCCAAATAGACAGTGGCACGGTTTCCAAGACCTTTTTTAGCGGGGATCTACGAACTTCATCCTATGGGGGGTCAAAACACACTCGCAAAGCGGTTTCTTTGCTACTGACCTCGGCTACTGACCTTGGCTACAGACGTCACTCCCATGTCGTCCCAGGTCGTCCCCGGGCGTCGCCTGCAAGCTTCGCATGGCCCGGGCGTTCTTTGCGGCGCGGGGAACTCGCGGGTTTTGTGGAGTCGAGGTCAGTGGAGGCAATGGATCAAGGATTGCAATTCATTGTTGAAGAACATATTATCTCTTGTCTTTTTCGTTCAAGTCCTCTTGCCAATCTCAATTTAGGACATGGGACCAAAAGCGTATACCGCATACAACCTCAGATGCAAATAATGCGGTTTTTATTATGTATGCTTTTCTTGGGGTCAAGATGGAGGCATGGATCCTGTGGTCATTGTTTCATGCTTTTTTATTATGTATGCTTTTCTTGGGGTCAATATGGAGGCATGGATCCTGTGGTCCATGTTCAGATTCGTTTATACCACATGTTTTACATCCCAGGTGCAACACTGGGTGCAACGTACGGTTCTTTGAAGAGCCACTTTTGGTGAACAGAGGGACGGGACGTACAACTCACAACATCATTGTTGGAAGGTCAGTCTGGAAACGAATGGCTCCGACACTTCTATTTTCGGTTTTGGGGGTTTGAACTTTGAGCATGCTTGAATCAATATTCAATATCATCTACTCTACTCTAAACAGCTCAGGGAGAAAAAATGGCAGCGACATCGCGATATAGTGATGACAAAGACTGGCTGGATCTGGCTGGGTTCTTGATGCTCGTTCAGCCTGCCCACACAAATACCCTCCTCGCAACGAACAATTTGGAAGTTAGCCCCCGCTTGCACAGAATAAAATGGAAGTTCTTGAAGCGACTTTTGTCCAAGTTCATACATCTTGGATGGAGGCTAGCACCCTACGGCTTTGTTATGTTTTGTGGTTGGTCATAACCTCTGAGACAATCTCAGCATGGTCCTGGCTATCGACAACAGTTTCTCATGGTGTTTTTCTTGGGCATCAGACCAGCTTCCTGAACCTGAACAAGATATCCCTGAAAGTCCAAAGAAGAAAGTTCCTCTTGGCCCACTGAGGTGAAGGAAGTTACTATTTTCGGGTCACCATTCAAGACCATTGATTAAATAGTCTTGGACTCCTGGACAAGATATGGATGTGATGTGGTATTTTAATGGGAGATCCCGATCGCCCCTGGCTGCGAATGGCCTGCGAAGCGTCTACGTTGGACGTTGCCGGTCGGTCTCAAAGAGAGCTGCAGCTACACACTCATGTTCTACACCACCCCTAGAATTCTCAAACCACCCAAAATACTGTGGCTTCAAGTGGGTCTCCATAGCGGAACTGCGGGACAACCCATGGACCTCAACACCGACGGTGCGGTGCGACGGCCCCTGCTACGGCGGCACAGTGTGGCGTGCTGTCCAGGGAGAAATGATAATCTTGAATTTGTTTATTTTGCTTAATTAAGGAACCAGGAAGAAATCACATATGATATTCCCAGGTTTGGGGGTTCCTTTTCCTAAAATGAACATCACATCAAAATCTTACCCAATCAGCAAAACTGAATCGGATCATTTTGAGTCTGGCAGAAACTCGCCAAGCCTCGAAAGGAGGTGCCCCTCATGTTCTCGTGTTCCCCCAAAACGGTTGCTTTCATGCATGTTGGGTCAAAACCCTGGTTGGTTGGACAACCAGCTGGTCCATTCTCTTCATGTTCACGCGAAGCCTCCCGGTTTAACCCCTGGCCGCGGCCACTTCAGCCCTAAATTTTGTAGTTTAGTTTTGATCCATCTACAGGTCATAAAGAGGTCGTAGCCCACAAGTCGAGGTCCCACTTCCACGCGCCGTTGAACACCTCCGCCATGCCGGAACCCCCTCCGCCACACCGTAGTGGCGGGTGGCAAAACGGTGCACCCTTTTTGAAACGTCCTGGTGCTGTGCACCCGGTCGCTGCGCCCGGCGCTTTCGTTCACTCCTCGGCTTGCTGGGTGGGGTTCCTACCCAGAAAACACGCAGACTCCGAACGGTTCGTACGGGCTGGACTGGACCTACCAGGAAGCATCATGGGAACAGTTTGTAGAGTTCAAGGTTGCAAACTGGCACAGATGCACCTTGGTGCATCCAGAGTTAGTTTCTGCTTTTACACTATGTAATGTCAACCTGGTATTAGGGAACCCCCCCTATTAGTCTACCCCGCGTTCAGGCCCCAATAATAAACTAATTTGAACTATAAAATTTCCACAGTCACCACCCTTTAATAAAATTTTTGCTTGGCTGAAACCCCCCCCATTAGTCTACCCCCTGTCCCTCCAGGAAAAATATAATTACTCAAATATATTACAAATATATTAATACTAA